ATTAATGCGGGAAATTATGAGGAGGATTGAATTGGGACGGTGAATATAGTGTTGTGGTTGTGGGTGAGGTGAGGTATAGGAAAAGGAAAGAACTTTTTAGTGTGTGTACACTTTGAATTTGGAAGCCGAAACATAGATTTTAAATTGCTAAATGCTATAAGCAAACAGGCTACATTATTACTTTGTTTTTTTTTATGTTTTTTTTTTTACTTTTTAAATCTGTCATGCTTTCAATTTGACTTCAAATGGGACAATTCGCCAATTTGCTTTCTAACGAAATTGATTTAAATTGCTAAGAGGCTGATTAAAGTGGATAAATGAGGAAAATTTGAATCTTGTTACTTGGAAAAAGAAAATGAATTTACTGAGCTTAAGACATCTCCAACAGCTTCTCTAAAATTTTCTCTAAAATGGGAAAACAAAAATCATATTTTTTAAATTATTTTTACACTAACTCCAACAACTTCCCCATTTTGAAGAATTCTTTTTTTCCTCCAAAAATTTGGAGAATGCTGCTGATTTGGGGAAGCTTTCCCAATTTTTCTTCTCCATCCCTATTTTGGGGAATGAGATGGAGAATCTGTTGGACCAAAAACCTAACTATATTTTTCAAAAGTGGAAAATGAGGAAGCTGTTGGAGATGTTCGTAGGACATGACGAGTTTAGATTAAAATGAGGCGGGTCTCAGAGATAATTTCTAAATCATATACATAGAACGTATGACATGAATCTGACCGATAATTTTTTGAAATTGATAATCGCTTTTGAACCAGAGGTAATTTCTAAATCTTGTATGATTCTCTCCAATGCAGGTCGATCTCAGAGGCGACGCGTACGGCCTCCTCGCCGCCCACCCCCTCACCCCCTTAATCTCCCTCCACCACCTCGACTCCGTCAAGCCCATCATCCCCTCCGCCTCCACCCAGCTCGACGCCCTCAAAACCCTGATATCAGCGTCCAAACACGACCCAGCCCGAATCCTCCAACAAACCTTCTGCTACGTCGTCGACCGATCCTTCAACTGGTCGGTCTCCGTCTCCTGGGGCTACACCGTCCAAATCTACCCTTGGGTTCTACCCGCCACTGAGCTTGAAGTCCCGTTACGGACTTTTCAAACTTGGAGGAGTTACAAGGACGGCCCGTTTTTGTTTAATACCAGAAAACTTAATTTGGACCAGGAGTGTGAGAGGCCGGTTCGGTTCTTTCTGGACCGGGTTCAGGTTTTGGACAACACTACTTCTGTGACCGAGTACAAAAAGTACGAGGAGAAGGACGGGAGTAAAGTGTGTGATCAGCCAGGTTTTGTTGCTGCGTCACGGGTTGGTTTGGTTCGGGTAATTGCGCGGCGGCTGAACCGAAACTTTTGGCAGAAGGTATGGGTTTTGTCTACTGATTTCTATGTGAGTGGTTTAGTCTTTTGATCAAGGTTTGAATTATACATAATTAAATAGACTAAACCAAGATTAAGATTTGAATTCCAGGACGCGATACAAGTCATTATCACTTTTAAATTACTATACAAAATCAACGCATCCGTGAAAAAAATCATTATGCAAAGCTAACTTTTCGCAAAGAAAAATTCTTCAATGACCCAAAATATGGGACCAATATAAAGGACAAGTGAAGTATCCCCTCCTATTGGAAATAGGAGGTGGACACGTCACTTGCTATTCACTTCGGAAAAGGGTTCTCTACATGAGTTTTATTTGGGTGTAAATATATATATTAATGATATATATATTATGGAGGTCTAAATATGCATCATGTCAACTATAAGCCCTGTAATTGTTTTTATTTTTTTACTAATTAACGCGTTAGCGATGGTCTCTTGACTGTGACTCAGGCTCCACGTAGACAGTGTTGTGAGACACGTAGGATCAAGCGAGGGAAGGTGATGGAGGTGAAGATCAGAGATTGCTATCCTGGAGAGGTTACCTCACCACCGTAGAAGATTAACAAGCCTTCATTGTTTCGCTGCATAATTTACTGTACAAAATCAAAAGAGGCTGATGTTTGATATGAATAATATTAGAGAGAGGTTTTAGTTGCACAGCGTAGTTCCATCATTACTTCCATCTTTGTAACATGCTTTTGGTACGGTTTGGGCGCATTGAATAATAGCTTTGTGTATTGAAGATGCCACGACGCCATGTGATTTCAAGCTTGGCCTTGAGCTTTAGAAGTGATCAGCTGATTTGAGATCTTGGGGTTGATGATTAAAAAAAAAAAACTAGGAATCAATCTGACTAATACTGGGCTTTCCACAATGCGATGAGAGGTAAAAAGTCCATCATGTGTTTTAGTTTTTTTTTCCCCGTCGTAATTTTCTCCCAAATAAATAAAGAATATTCCACTTATTTTATACTTCATAATTCAGGTTAAAAAAAAAAAGTTGCCCCCGTCCACAATCTAACGTGGACCCCTTGGGCGTGTCTGACAACTCACTCACTGAAATCGGACCAAACTTGCTCTTTAAACTGATTTTGACAAGAACTGGTTTCTACAACTAAATTAGTTTAGAATATTAAAGAATTCAGAAACACTAAAGAATTGACGAAACACACCCTGATGTTTTCTCACATCTTAATGGCTGAACCATTATCAGTTGGTTGGAAATTTGGAATCTTGGGACCGTGACAAGGACCCATGGGGGTTTTTGAGCCAGTGATGCCCACTATCCCATGAGCCGTTCGTATTCAACAGGATACAACAAAAAGTCTTCAGCCGCTGATTAACAAATTAGCACTTTCTAACTGAGACTAACTGAATGCGGTACGCACACGCTTGGGAATTAGACACGTGTATGTAAATTTCTCAAACAACGACGACTGTTTGTGTAATTTCAATATCTTTATTATTGTTTAGATACAAAATATAGCTTCGCCTCACGCACTAGAGCCTATAATAATATACTAACATATTGACAGAACATCCAGAAACAGGAACCTCTCAGAGCAGAGAGCATCTGTACTGTTTAAAAAAAAAATTGCTCGTTGTTCAGTTAACCCGGGAAGAAAAATAAAGGAGTTTTTAAGTTGATACAGAACGCTCACAGTTGTGAGATGCTGAATAATCCAATAAACAAACAAGAGAGTCCAGAGAAATAGAATAATGCATCCAGTTTACTGGGGGGAAAAAATAGAAGAATAGTATCAGCAGCATTATTTCACAGATCATTCAAAAAACACTTGGATTTTTCAAGCTAGAAACAACCAAAAAATTAACATAATAGTGACAGATTTGACACCCCTGGACACCTCATCGCCAGATACAAAAAGGAAAAAATAATTAAAACCTTATGCAAATAAGAAACGCTTTTTTATTACTATAAAAAACAGTAGGATAATTTATAGGGGTGCATTTGGTCCGGATACGGCTCGGATATGATGCTTATTATATCCATATCCGCTTACTCATCTCGAATACGGATACGGATATACCTAGGTAAGAAAAACTTATAACCATATCCGCTAAAATCGGATACGTTTACGGATATACATGCGGATATATAATAAGCGGATATGCATGTAGATACAAAACAGATATGAGAAAACTAGATAGTATTGAGAAAAACATAGTTCATGTGATACAAAAGAGTTTGTTAATATGTCCATTATAATTGAAAAGTTAAGATTAGACATCTTGATCATCAAAATTAACCACTCCATAATCTAAGAATCGAAACTATCGTAAGAATATGACTAATATGTATTCGGATATTTCGGATACGGATACATATATTTCACTATAAAACCATATCCGTAATCATATCCTATCGGTTATAAATTTGAGTAACCATATTCATATCCTAACGAATACGGTTACAGATATTTTCTCGGATACGGATACGGTTTAGCACCCCTAATAAGAAAAATGACTTAAAGACCCAAAATATAGGACCAATGGAGGGGACATGAGGGGACACCTCATCTGTGCCCTCCCTTGGTCCCATATTTTGGATCCCCGTAGCAACACTCCCCTAATAATTTAACGTCAGCAACTACCAAATGAAAATACACACAACACAAGGAGCAAACAATGGAAGCAATAATTTTACCTGTCCATTTGTTCAGCCGCGAGACACGGGATGCCCTTCTACGTGTGTCGCCAGGACCAAGTCTCTAGTCAAAAGGATAACAAAGATTATTAAATAATAATTACAAGATTTGAAACTTATGAACTGTATAAATCAAAGCAGGGACTAGTTTGGATTTCAACTACCATCACTCTCTGAAACCAGACATATAATCGAGACCGAGAGCAGAATCGTAAAAACTGACCACATCAACAAATGAACATGACAAAGCCATGACTAATTCAACAATTTGTACTGTTATAGCAAAGTGATTTGGGAAATAGCTAGTGAAATTAGTATGCTCCGCTCAACAAAAAAAAAAAATCCAAGCTGGGATCATGTTAGATTAATTGAAATTCTAGTGAAATAAAACCCTTCAGCGGGTAATTTTGATGCATGCCAAATGTATAGTAGTCAAATTTCGTGGTGTAAGAACTGCAGGCCCTGTACCTGAGTCCTAGTAATATCATGATCGTTCTAATAATCGTACTAATTTAAAAATAATGAAAACTCACAACTTATGAATCAGCAAGTAATATGTCCAGATTATCATCTTATTATTGCTTGAGAAGGAAAAATCCGACGAGTGCATTTAGCTGTATAGTGAGATGTCCATGTTCCTTGTCATAGTGCTGCTAAAAAGCGCAAATTTCAAAAAATTAACTAGATACATGCACATCTATGCTTTTTTCCTCTTTTATTATTATTATTATTATTATTTACCACATTAGTCCCCCTTCATCTGCACCTTCCGAAAATACAAGCTTTCCAGCATGTCAGTCATATACGCTTCGTGCCATATATACCAGTCTATTCCGTCTTCTGGTACCATCTGCAATATTCAAGAAAAATCAAGCGATAAATATATAGTCATCGACTCTTTTATGCTGTTATATATATATGAGAAAACTGGCCAAGAGCTGGCAGCTTTCCCTTCCGTGAGCTGCAGGGGGGTATTTGAAAAAAAATTCCCACGATTTCAGCGGGTATTTGAAAAAAAAAATCCAAATCAATCTCTCCCCAAAAAATTCCTCCGCTCTCCCCCCTCCCCACGATTTCAGCCTCCGCTCTCCCCCCTCCCCACGATTTCAGCCTCCGCCACGACACCGGCGACTCACATCCGGCGCCATCCGTCGACACCGCCGCACCCCGTGCCAGGACCATATCGGGATCCCCTTCTTCTCTCCTTCTCATCTCTTCTACGCCGCCACGAGATCCATCCCTCAGGTAAAATCCCCATTCCTCTCGACCCCTCTCTTCTCTCCTTCTCATCTCTTCTAATACACCCCTCTCTTCAAAGAAGTTGTTGTAGAATTATTAGTCAAGAACAAAACGGCAGTAAATTCTTATTTTGCTATATAGATGAATGCTACCATTATTATTAGTCTGGCATCGTGTTATCAAACTCCAAATTGGAAAATATCGAGCATCGGATGCAGGACATTTACTATAAACTAGTTTCCCTTTCAATATAATTATCATGACAGAACTTAAACCTATGAAAGTAGCAGGCCAATCTTTGATCTCAAGAGTTCAGATCTCAGGTCATTTCTATAGAAACTAAAATTCATCAATTCACTTGTCATCAGGTTCTTAATTGACCCTTTGCCTCACAGAATACTTTTAAACAAAATAGCTGTAGAGCAGAAAGTTGAAAAGAATGCATACCAATTGCAATTTTGTGTATCCCAAGTAATGCATCAAGTATAAATCTAAGTTAGGTTACGATTAAGCAGTCGCTGGAAGGATATATAGAGATCATTGTTATCTGCACCCAAATCAATTAATTGTTATCTGTTTTGGTCTTTCAATAAATCAATATGAGAAAACTGGAATGAAATTGATTTGATTCAACAAGATTATTCATGTCAATATAACTATCTTGGCTATGGATGATTGTTACATGTGGTGTATGTGAATATTTACAGGTTTAATTTGAGTTTAAATCTCTGATGCCTATTTGGTGGTGGAATTTTTGGATTTCTTGCAATCTGTATACTACGGCATTTCTATATAATGGTGAACTTGACTAATAATTCTACAGCAACTTCTTAGAAGTCACTGTAGGATAGTGGGATAGGGTTCCATTGCTTACAATTTAATCTCATAGTTTTGCCAAACATTTTGAAATTATTACTCCACAAAATATTTAAGAATTTTTGAAACCAGTTTAGATTAACAGTAACAACATAGTAGAATTACCATTTCATCACAAATTGGAGGGAGCATTGCTCATTACAATAATGCTATTTCATACACGCTTCAATACATTAATGCTACAAGATTTGGTTTTTCACCCAAAAGAATAAAAAACAATACAACTAAAACAACTATAAAAAAATAAATTACAACATGGAAATCCTTTTACATAATTATTTATTTTAATTTGGAACTTATTATTAAATCATGTTTACAAAATAGTAACAAAGAATTGATGTTCATAAAAATTTATACAGTTAGGTCAATCTATACACGCTTATAACTATACACGCTTCAATACATTAATGCTACAAGACTTGGTGTGCGTTTTTTCCTCATTCCTTGGTAAATTGATCTTTTATTTGATTTCTCCTTTTGATAATTGCTAAAAGTTCTTAGTGAAGTTTGTCTTTTTTTTTTGTGACTGAAGTTTACTGAGGGAGTTGCTAGAAGTTGTTGTCACGAACGCAAATTTCTATGTAAAAAATCCTCTCTCTTTCAAATGTTGCGGAGGAAGAGAGAATCCCACATACAACTTTCTATTGTACCAAAAATATTTTGAAAAGTTTGGGATTTTGAATAATTTCAATTTTTTTATTTTTCTGAACAAGGAAAACTTTAAATTAGTACTTACTGATGTACCACTGTTGTTTTTATGGGAGTTTTATGAAAATGAGAATATGGTTTCAATCTATATTTTTTTTAATTCAGTACTTCAATCTTCTTTGTTGTATTAGGTTGTAAATATTTTAACATTTTATACAACCATCAAAGTTTTTACAAATACTAAGTTTGTTTTTCTTGAATTTCTTTTCTTCATTAGGAGTTCGGAATGGAGGAAACAAATTCCACTAGTGTAGAGTTTGGAATGGGAGAATCAAGTGCTATTGGAAGTGAAATTACGGTCAATACTGTAAATTCTCCTAAACCACTAATAGGAATGAAGTTTAATAGTTATGAAGAAGCTTATAACTATTATAACTCTTACGCATCGTTGATGGGTTTTGGAATAAGGAAGAGCACGGTAAATCACTCTCGCAAGACTAGAGAAGTGGTAGACAGAAAGTTGGTTTGTGATAAGGAGGGCTACAGATCTAATAGAGACAAGATAGAGATTAATTTATTAAAATCTTGGGCTTTAAGAGCAAAATTTAATAATGTGCTCGAGCTTGCATTTGATTCAAAAGAGAAGATGCAAAAACTAGATGATGTGCTAACAAATTTCATAGAATCACTTGAAGAAGAAGTTGGAGAAACTCAAGATCAAATGGTGGATATTCCTCATGTTTTCGCACCCATATCACATACAATGGAGCACATTCCTCAGATTACAGTTCGTGATCCTGATAGACCTGCAAGGACCAAAGGTCGTCCACGCAATGCTACTAGAATCCAGTCAAGTTTAGAGCAAACACAAGAGAAGAAAGAAAGGAAGAAACGTATATGTAGCAGATGTGGTGAACTCGGGCATTATAGAACTAGTTGTAAAGTCAACTTGCCAAGGTACAATTAATATATTTTTTTCATGAAACTTCATAGCACAAAGCCATATCTCATGATTAATTTGTAATGTCAATTGCAGCTAAACATGTTGCTAGATACTTGTGGCGTTTCTTGAGCAAAGGTTGTTGGATTTGTTCAAGTAAAGGTTTCTGGACCTGATTCTTTCTTTACATCTATCTTCAATTCATGTTTTTTGTGTAAATCCTTTTTTTAATTCTATATATGTAATAGCAAGTATATCCCTCAAGTTGTTAGTATAAGCTCCTAGTTTAATCAAGAAATATCCCTCAAATTTGCTGACATGATACTTGTAGTTATTTTGGGTCTTCAATTTTTAATTCTGTATCAACAAATATCCCTCGAAAAGTGTTCTGTATCAATCTTTAATTTTCTCAATTCTTACTTGCCCCATTTTAAAAATTTGAATACTTGTGGCACAGGTTGTTGGAGCATAGGTTGTTGGAGCAAACTTTGAAAATATTGGATCAAAACCTTTTGCAGAGAGCAAGACATGGTTGGTTGCAAATTTTCCTGTTTTGAAACATGAAAATGACTCTAATTTGTGAGAACACCTGGATGTAACTTTGGATGATGTAACTTGGATTTCTTCCTTTGCTGTTTTGGATTTCTTTTCCAGTAATCGGTATTTTTCTGTTGGGTATTTTTTTTGATAAATTAATGGGTAAACTGCAGTGTTTGTGGCACAGGTTTGTACTTGTTTGAAGCTTGTAGTTAATTTAAGCATGTGGGTTTCTCATTACGCTCAATTTTGGTTGGTGAAGTGGTGATGTATAGTAAATGAGCTGCAAGATAAATGTTCTTAATGGGACAACTTAATCACCTGTAACCATAGGATCGCTCACATGGCTATGCTAATCATGTTAGAATACAAAATAGGATATTGCCATGATTTCCTAAAAGTACAACATGTTCACGCTGAAACATACTCAGCAGAGTATTTATTGCAAGTATGTCCGATTCTCTAATTGAACTAGTTGAGATAAACAATACTAACAACATTGTTATTCTAACATGATTAGCATAGAATTAAGGATCACACTATTTGTTTCCATCTCAAGACCCCTTTTTGTGGTGTTCTTCAGATTTTTTTTACTTAAGAGTTCCTGAACCTATTCTCCCATGATCTGGACAAGCACCCTGCAGTTAGCTCATTGTGTTTAGACGAGTTTGAATCAGACCCTCTTTGTTCTATTACTGAAGGAAATCTAAGATAACATTCTAATTTTATGGGTTTGTTCGCGTGAAGAAGTATAGATAGTCAGATACAAACATGCAAAACAAAAGATAATTTTACAAACCCAGTTTACAAATCTAATTCTAGCATCCAGGAGAAATATATAAAAGCTATCAGAAATAATAATTATAGGACAATGATAGTCCTAATATATCGCCATGCAAGATATTCGGCGTCTGGTAATTGAAATATTATCTCCATCTTGTGATAGATATTCACTCAGGCAAAAGCCTATTCATCATGGGAACAAATACTGGCAGCAATATTGGTGGAAAAATAATCCAATATTGCATAAGCCTATTCATTCAGACAACAAGCATTTCGGAATAAATTATATCACATAATATTGTATCAACTTACAAACCAAGTTGAGAAACATCCAAGATCCAACACATGACAACTTACAAATCACATCACATACTTTTTGCAATAGAGAAACCAACAAATACTGCAACAATACATATTACAAACACTAATATTGTAAACATTAAACCTAATGCAAAAACATAGATGGAGGAAAAAACAGTTTCCCTAAAAATTTCGTTGTCCACATCTAGATTGTGCCGCTCCGGAAATATTTGCTGTTTAAATTGAACTAGTATCGGGACAGGCCTTGAGCTGGATGCTGAATCACGAGCACAAATATGTTCCAAAAAACCCAAAAACATAGAGCTCAACAAGCTCGCATCAGCCTATTAACAAAAAAAAACAGCCACCTGAGATTTAACTTTTAATGGCCGTGGATGACAAAAATATATGGAAGGAAATCAGATAACAAACCTCAACAATGGGCAATCTGGCAATATATTAAAGCTAATATTTACACAACTAAAGAAAAAGGATCAAAAGACATTGCTGGGCTGTTGTTTTCATTTATTCCCATCATCTTTAATTAACCTTCTTGCTGCTCCTTTTCTTTATACTGTAATGGAGGATTTTTGACATAGTAATTTGCGTTCGTGACAACAACTTCTAGCAACTCCTCCAGCAAACTTCAATCACAAAAAAAAGGACAAACTTCACTAAGAACTTTTAGCAATTATCAAAAGGAGAAATCAAATAAAAGATCAATTTACCAAGGAATGAGGAAAAAACTCACACCACGCCTTAGCAATGAAGGTAGCCAAGTTCTTAAACAAATGGCTTGATCAGAAAGTTTTTAGTAATATTGATTTACCTGAGAGATTGATCGGAGGGAGGAGGGGGCTCGACGGCGGGCGGCGATTGATGGAAGGGATCTCGATCTGGTCCTGGGAGAGTGGAGGCGGTGAGTTTTTTGGGGGTGGGGGGAGAAAACCAAACAGTTTTGGGGGGAGAGAGGGTTTCACTAATTCACCTGGGGATTTGCGACTGGAATTGCGGATCGTGGTCAAGTGAGTCGCCGGTGTCGTAGCGGAGGCTGAAATCGTGGGAAGGGGGGGAGAGCGGAGGAATTTTTTGTGGAGAGATTGATTTGGAGAGCGGAGGAATTTTTTGGGGAGAGATTGATTTGGATTTTTTTTCAAATACCCGCTGAAATCGTGGGAATTTTTTTTCAAATACCCCCCTGCAGCTCACGGAAGGGAAAGCTGCCAGCTCTTGGCCAGTTTTCTCTCTCTCTCTCTCTCTCTCTCTCTATATATATATATATATATATATATATAACTTAACATGGTTTCAACTCTTTTCATCCTACCACAAGAAATATTAGCTAACGCCATGGAAAAGATTATATTGCTGAGTATCTATATCCCATTAACAGTGAAGGAGCTCCCCTTAGTTCAAAACAAGAAGAGCATGGAGAGGTTGTCTTGTTATGGAAATGAACGGTGATGTTGGCTTGTTCACCACAATATTCTTGGGATGTACTATTGTTGAGCATCCCATTAAGATTGGAGGTGCTGGCATTTTAGTGCAAACGAGAACATGGAGAAAGTCATCCATGAACAAGTTCCTCAAATCCTAATGCGATACTAAATAATAGTGTGCTCAACGAGCACCATTCATTCCCATTTCAAAACAAGATGTAGAAGGGCTTCATGGTAAGAAAAATTACCTCTAACATTTTCAAAAAGTTATCTCATTGTTTTGAATCTCACAGTATTAATCTATTATGCAGGCGATGAAGCTTACTAGGCATCAGATGGTGATAGGCAATGATGATTTGATCATTTCAACTATAAAAAAATTATACTCATGAAGCATGAGTCCATTTAAAATTATTTCCAAAAATACCAAGTTACGTTTAGTTGATTTTGGCTGTCTATTGCCTCTAAATGTCAAATGAAAAATTACTGAACAAAGTTTTTTTTTTTCCGTCGATGAAATTTTAGTTATATGCCAATTACAGATGGGGGTCCATCGACAAAAGTTTAAAATTCAAGAGGCTTTTGTGAGACACCTCAAAGTTCAGGGGGTTTTGTGGGATAAAAAATGTTTACGGTGTTAGTTGGAAAGAAATCCAGTGTTTGTGAGGTTTGATGTTTTTTTTTCTTCCTAGATTGATAACACTGTCTGTTATTTGCCGATCATTTAAGCAAGATAATGGAATTATCTAACATAAAAGCTATGAAGGTTTTATGATGAAATCTAAAGTTTCCTATTATCACAGATATATTTGTATTATATTTGGTCGTCAAACAAACCCTTTTAGCTAGATAAAGAAGTTCCTGATGATGCAACAAATTATGTTTTTTCAGTGCTCGTCTCCTAACAGAATATGAACCTGAATAAGTCATTAAATACCATCAATTAATTTATATTTTCCAAAAAAGCCAATAATTATTTTTTTATTAGATACGGATGAAATCGTTTGCAACTAAATTTGAAAAACTAAACACCAATGTTGGGTAGTGCGAGAGATGTCATTGATAAAATTAGATTCCAATGTTCTATTACATGTAAGTACTTGCATAATTTGCAGGCTATGATATGCTCTACAGTAACAAATTTCAAAACGAATTATGCTTATGAATCAATGTTTTATAAAACTGGTTAGTATGGTATTTTTTAAAGTTGTACGCGTGAAATTGGAATTTTTCTCGTATACACACACACACGCGCATACAGTTAAAAGCTCTAAACTCTCTTCAAATATTTGCAAATGTACCAAATCAAAATTGGGACAAGAATAAAATTAATGCAACATGAATTAGAACAAGTTGCGCATATTGATATACTTGCTAAATCCGGCCATATGAGAGTTCTTGTTTTTGAACGGTTTGTAGCAATTGATGCCTTTTACGTGAAGGTTATTCCTTAAAATACATTAAACATCACCTTTTCAAAGTTGTAGTCATGATTGAGGGATCTTTCACGGATCAAAAGTCAAAACAGAACAGTTTTACAAAGCATTACCATTTTATAATCCGTTTTAAAGTTTGGATGAGGTTGAAGGTTAAAAGTTTTTTCTCCTGTTGTTTTAAAAACACACTGCAAACACTACACTAATTAGCCTATCAAAAATTCTCAGAAACAGAAAAAACAGGAGCTCCACCAATTATCTAACACGTACAAACAAGTTAAAGCAGCATCAGGATGGAAGTTAAACATTAAAATGGAAAGACAACTATAGCATCACAACCTTCATTAGTTTTTCAAAAACTAGATCAAGACATTGAGCCAAGAAAACTTCATCAAAAACTTCATCAACAACATTTGATAAAATGCTCAATGTTAGGGACAACAAGCATACTCTACAGGCTAGTCAATGCTAAAAGTACCTTCGTAAAGTTTGCCAAGGAGCCATCACCCCTCCGGCCAGCATCACAGCAGCTGAAAATAGGTTTAATAAGAAGGCATCTAATTACCAAATGGTAAGAAATACAGTTGAACATAGTCGCATGTATTTAGCAAATGGAAAAATCAACGTTTTAGTGCAACAAGCGAATTTCACATTCATGATTACCAGGAAAGGGAAAAGAAGAAGAAGAAGAAGAAGAAACAACGTAATAGATAAAGGTTCATGCAATTACTCAAGCAAAAAAAATAAACAAATGGTCATACAAGATAGCTCAAAGATGTTCATTATTTCTCCAAAATTACACCAATGCATTTCTTTTACTTCCCCTTTGATTCACTTGACACTCTATCTAGCTTGATTCTCTTTCTAATAGTATTTGATTTAAGTGATAGATAAAGGTTACAGAATTAATAAAAGTACCCTACATTTAAAAAATTCCTGCTCTAAAGAATAAAACATCATTTATTACTTAAGAAGGATTTGAACGAGATTCCGTGCTCAAATACGGGCACGCTGGTTTCCTGAAAATCATGATAATTTACTAAATTGAAATATTTATAAAAATTATTGACACGCGAAATAACAGAGCTCATTTGTTTTATTTCAAATTAAATGTATAAAGTGTAAAGTAGCAAAATTATAACTTGCAAAGCCGCCTGGTATTGGAGGTAGCATATTGTACTTAATTTCAAAAAATTGGTGCTCGGCGATTTATTACATACATTTTT